TTATACTTCCGCTCATCGCCTCATTGATGATATTCTTTCATGGAGGCAATAGTTACGTCCTCCACCAGAGCACTATGGCCTTCAGGGGAAGGAAACTACAGCTACAGATGGCTCGTGTAGCTTATTAGGCATAACTCAAAAATTGCGCGTGCGAAGTGAGCCATCACAGCGGTTCGGATGGCTCGCTTCCCATGAGCGTCTTTGATAAATCGGCTGCTTGGAATTCCCCTGTCATTATTGATTGGTTATCGAAGTGCGATCTTCAACATCCCGTCCCATCAACCGGCTGGTGTGTTCACTGGGCAATTTACCAGATTTAAACAAAACTGTAATAATTGTCGGGATTTTCGAGCTGCCGCAACAACACTTACTCGTCGCATGCTTTCTCATGGGCGTTCCCCGTCGATCTTTGCTAAGGGGTGGACCTGCTACATGTGCTCTTGCCAACGCTGCCATCCTATCCTACGCATGTGACGCATCTCTGTCAGTGGCTTCCGACGCATATTACCATGGTCCCTGGATCACCCACTTTCTCCTTGCCCCCACAACGCTCTTTTTGTCCTACCCCTGTTCGCTCATTTGCTGCTGCAGTTTCCACTGCCGCAGTTTCTACCACTGCAGTTTCGACCACAGCAGTTTTTACTGCCGCAGTTTCTGCCGCTGCAGTTTCTACCGCTGCAGTTTCTACTGCCGCAGTTTTTACCGCTGCAGTTTCGACCGCAGCAGTTTCTACTGCCGCAGTTTTTACTACAGCAATCTCCACTGCTACAGTTTCCCTTGCTGCAGTTTCCTCTGCTGCAGTTTTCAGTACAGCACCACAGCTGGAATTGCCCGTACTCATCACAGTCTTCGATGCGGTTTTTGCTGCTGCAGTTTCCATTGCTCCGGTTTCCTCTGCTGCAGTTTTCAGTACAGCACCACAACTGGAATTCCCCCGCTACTCATCATAGTCTTTGCTGCAGTTTCCTCTGCTCTGCTGCAGTATTTGCTGCTACAGTTTCCATTGCTACAGTTTCCTCTGCTGCAGTATTTGCTGCTATGGCTTCCTCTGCCACATCTCCACTGCAAAAAACATTGTTGTCTTTTGAAATCTTGCCCAATCCACCCCCCTCTCATCTCTTTCTGTGCTTGGCTGCAGATGGCTGCGTTCCTCCCTACCACCCCCATCTTCTCCACGGTCTCGCTTGCCAACAGACTCTCCGGTTTTCATGCTTCCCGTTGTTCCACCTTCGTTGCCGGAGAGACATGCTCATCTTCAGTTTGCAACACCACTATCCCTCTTTATTCAAACAAATATTAGTTATGTATGAAAGTTTTATGAACTGTACGGGGCAGTCCTGTTTGGCGATATATACTCAGCCCCTCGTTTGTTGTCCTCTTCTCCCTCTCTGCTGACGGTTTACCGTAGGCAGCTCTGTTTGATCAACTTTGATGATATATACCACGACTTCGATAGCACCCTGCTACAGTTTTCGCCACAGCATTGCCAGTCGTAGACCCTTCAACTTTGAACGTCTGTGGTCGGGGCCGTCGCGATGCGGCCATGCTGTGCCTCTAGTGCCAGCGGCGTGTCTGGAGTGTGTTTTTTGGCTGGGATAGACCTTTCTTTGTTCCGTGGGTGTTTTGCTTGGTTGTTGCTTGTGATGGGGTGTGAACCGATAGTCTGTACAGTTTTCCATCTGGTGTGGGTAAGGAGTGATAGTCTGCTTTGATTTTCGTTCCAGGTAGGTACCTTGAGGGCTGCAGTGGTTGGTGGTCCCCACCACCTCAGAGGGGTGTCAGTTGTTCTGGCAGTCGTTGATGCTTAAACACAACCGGGGTTAAGGTGGATTATCACTTACAGTGTAATCAGTTAGGGGATTCTGCAGACTGTTTTTGAGGGTTCAGTCTCTACTGATTGATGAGTCGGCGGTGAAACTCTGACGAAACACTTCGTCACAGCCCCTCGTTTGTTGTCCTCTCTTCTCCGCCCCCTCTCTTTGCCTACGGTTTACCGGGCAGCTCTGTTTGACAATATATATATATGTAATATGTATACTACTATACGTGAAATTTAAATTTTAAACACATTGTATTAATTGCTGAAAAGTGGGTCCAATCGACGTCACATTTTCGATAACATCTTGTAGACTTGTACCCTAAATTTGACTAACAGTCTGAGAGTCAGTCAATTACTGGAATGAGGGATTCGCTCTTGTTGGTCTTTTCTGGGTGCCAGGTGCGTTCCGCAGGATCTAATTCTAAACCTTGGAAGATTGGCGACTTCCACCAATTCTCGTCTAGAAGTCCTCATTTGAAATCCTGACTTTGGCCAGAGCCCTGTTACCTTTACTGCACCAAGGAGTTAAAGGCTGCAATTTCTCACCCCCCCCCAAAAAAAAGAAAAGGTCGCAATGTCCAGCCCATGCCTGTCCCCTTTTCGTCTCCTTGCTTGCATTCGTTTCCTGTTTTTTTTCCTTTATTTTTTCTTGGTTTTGATTCTTTTGAAAGTACATTCTCATTGGCGAAGTCTAAGCCACCACCGCGCCCCGCAGGCAAATTGAGCAGCTGTAAAGATATATCTGCAGCTGTCGAATGAGCAGTGCTACGGTGCCTACCGGACCGAAATGGTTGGCACCGCCAGCGAAAACAAAGAAAAAATCATGCCCATGGCGATTTGTGACTTTTGGGCTCGCAGCGCTCGAGGCTTGTTAAAAACAGCCTCTGACAAAAAAAAAA